TCTTAAAATTTCTCGTTGGGCATCAACAGACACTGTAATTTCGACCTTCGTCTATAGTTATTGACTGATTTAACCCATTGACGCGCAACCCTTGGACTTTCCCAATCGCATGTTTTGCTTTATTTTGAACTTTAAAATTTTTTCACGTATTTAATAGATGAACAGTGATTAATCTTCAAAACTTTAAGTGGCCAGCGTCAGATACATAAATAATGCGCGGTGGTAAAGCAAAAATTAAAAACGAGAAATCTTTATCGAGATATATGCATGAAGATGCTTTTGCTAGTAAGTTTGAGCCTCGCACAGCAGATGTACATACAGTAGTATACTGAGAAAGGAAAAATTTTGTTAGAAATTAGCAACGCTTTATTCATAGATCAAGTGTACAGCACTCAGAGAATAGCATTCTCTGCATTCGCTAACTGCTAGCATTGACTCAAGGTAAGGAAAATTTACAGGGTGCTCGTATTTGTTCCTTTATGGAAAATATCTTTACTACTGATACAGAGCGGTTCAGCAAGTTTATATTCTTCAACAAACTCCGCACACCGGTAGGTTAATCGAATTCCATTAAAATTACCATTTAAAAGCTGTTCTGCAGCCCACGTATTCTTGAGGCCTTACTTCAAAAATAGTCACCTTCCAGGTCCAGCAATTTGCAGCAGTGGGCAAGTATAGTCTCGGTAGTTAGGTGAAGTGCCGTTTGAGGAAGATGCTGCAATTCCAGCGTAATTCTACAGATTATTAGACAAATGAAAGGAGGTCTGGAATGGCGGACACTGTATTTGGGTTGACTCACTGCTAGCATTTAGAATAAAATCACTTTTGAAATGAATGATTAAAAGCTTTGATAGTTCATAAAAATACCTGAATGCCAATATACTGTTTGTAATGGTATTTCGTTTTTCTTGAAAAACGAAACATCACGTCTACAAACAGCACATGTTTTTATGGACCACCACAGCCTTCAAGAATAAAATATTTATACATTTGTAGTAATAATAATAGTATTTAGTGTAATTGAAAATACATTGTAATGAAAAAAATCAAAATATGAGGTCAGGATGGAGACTTAATAGAGAGAGGGGTGAGCTTGAAAACTAAAAACTATTGTAATGTTTTGTCATAATATGGTAAAATTTCGCAAAACTTTGAAGGAATTTTTGGGTTGTGCAAAAACGCATCTTAATACAATTTCCACGTAATGTTTGGCCTCATTGTGGCGCGGAGCGACTCTAGGCGTTAAAATGTATTTTGGTGCAGCGGAGGTTTATTCTCCAGCAGAATCTCCCAAACCGGGAAGGGCTTTTTCCGGCTTTCCGGATGTTCAGCTAAGAGATCCCCTACCAACCGCCTGGTTGCTACAAGCGCTAGCTGAATTTCTGATTCACATAGGTCAACGATGGCTTTTGGTAAAAGCTTAGCACGCTCCGAAAGGCTGCTAAGTTTGGGGAAAATTTTATCGCTGTTCAGCTTAAAAGAGAAGGAAAAGCCCACCACACTGAATCCCATCTCCGGGCGAATGGCATCCAGTGGATTGCAAAACACCATTTATCGGACCAAAAAGACACGTCAACGGCTCGCCATGGATTGTCTCATGCTCTACACCTACCGCTCTCCACCAAAGCAGACCTTCACGCTCTTTTCGGAGTTGGTTGGCGCTCCAATTGCCACATGATCGCATTGCAGGATACGAAATTTAAGAAGACGGAGATGATGCAGCCGAGGTGGCACACCTTCATTTGTGGTGAGAAAACTCCATCAGAAAACGTTGGAGTTGCCGTAAACCCATCTCTTGCCCTCTTTTCGATTTGCATGAGATCCTATCACCTCGACTAGCTTTTCTTTGAATCCGTCCTCTGCATCAGAAAATTATCACCACCATCAACTGCTATTCTCCAACGTCAGAAGCGGTAGTAAT